AGTCATTCTCTCTCATCAAAGAACTTTCAATCTCTCTCTCCCTCACCCTTCTCTCTGAAATCAATAAAAATATACATATTTAAATTGAACACTTGGAATTTGTGTTGGCTTCACCAAGGAAGGCTTCCTGGAAGAGGCTGAGATGTGAGGAGAAGGAGCTGTTTTAACAGCTTAGGAGAGGATCTGGGCCAGGGAGAGCCTGGAGCTGGCGAGGGAGAGGGCACAGAGGGAGCTGCCTCTGTGAGTTGTCTGATCCCTCACACAGGCTCATTGGTGAACATACGGGCCTGTATGCACACACTCACGCCTCCATGCACACTCATCCATGCACACTCATAACCACATATCTCATCCCAGGTGTAAGCACAAATAAGCCTTCTCAGACCTCTGTGCACACACATGTATATTTAACATGCATTCATGTTCACATACATGCAGTCAGATACAGACCTACAGGCGGGCCAACTCAGCCTTTTCTGGAGTTCAGAGGTGCTTTCCTCTGCACATCGGAAGGGGCCTGCACTCCCCAGTAAACGTGGGTCCCCAGCATCTGTGTCACCTACCGAATGTCCCGGCCCCACTGCCTGGGCTCCATCCACAGCCCCTGCACCAGGTCTACGGGGGGGACGGGAATGTCTTCTACACTGTTCACTTCCCAGTCACGGGATGCAAGCTGGCCTAGAAAATGGGGTGATCTTGAGAGAGGAGGTTCCCTTCAGCCAAGACCACTCACAGGGGAGGGGGCTCACCTGGGAGCTGTCAGTGGTCTGCACTCCCCCTACTGCGAGGGTGAAGGGGTCTGTGGGCAGCCCTGGCACAGATGCCCAGCTCCTTTGCCTGGCAGGCTCCCTGAGTCCCTGGGCTGCAGCCATGCTCTTCCTTTGGGTTCTCCTGGGCCCTGGGCCTCATCTCCCCTCCCACATCATCCCACCTCCCTGCCTGGGTGCTGACAGCTCCAGGTGTCAGGCTCCATCCACACCTTCTCCCCCTCTCCCGCTCCCCTTCCATTCCTTGGTGAGTCCATCTCTGAGGAATGGAGAGGGGGTAGGACAGGCCCTCCACTTGCCATGCTCTGTGACCCAGATCAGTGGGCCAGGGGCTGACAGGCAGGGCTGGGCTGTGGCTTTGTTACCTGCAGGCCCTGTGGGTGGTGGTGGCTTTCCACGTTCTACTGACAGAACCCCCTTCTCTGCTCCCCCAGTCCTCTGGTGACAGCTCCCTCTCCTCTCCTCACACAGACACCCTGGCACGAGTGTGAGCGGAGGCCTGTGGGTCCTAGTGAACCCTCATCCTTCCTTCCCAGGGAAGGCGTGGGCCTGGGGACCATCATGTGATACTTGTCTTTCTCTGACTGGCTTATTTCTCACTCAGCGTGACACTCTCCAGGTCCCTCCATGCTGTCTCAAAGGGTAAGAGATTCTTCTCTTTTACTGCTGCATAGTATTCCATTGTGTAGATGTACCACAGCTTTTTATCCACTCATCTACTGATGGGCACTTGGGCTATTTCCAGATCTTAGTGAAGAATGGGCCTTGAAAGAACTGACTCTTTCCATCCCCTTGCCCTCTGCCTGAACCTTAGGCATCCTTTTCATCCCATAAACTTTGTTAGCACTGCCTCTTGGGCACAAATGATCCATTGACCTGTTAATTCCAGGATATAACTAAACCATATGAGTAACTATGCTATTTCTAGCATCTGTAAATATCCTTGCTTGAATAATGGGAAAGAGAAGGCGGGTGAGGGGCTGGAAGTTTGGGCCTGTGACGGAAATCTGGTGTACGTCCTTATCAGTCTATGGTCTGGACACTGCTCCCTCTTAAATCATCTATCTTGCAGGACCTGTTTGCTTAAGCATTGTTACCACCTTGGGAGGCCATAAACTATGATGCTCCCAGAAGGAATTGTCAGGATTGGTGCCAGGCCAGGCCTTGAGATAGAGTCTCACAGCACCAATACTAGAGGTTTTCTCTTTTTGCCTTTATAAGCTTACCCCTAATTTCATTTCAGGACCACGAGTTTTGGAGTGGCAATAACCCTTCATGGTCGCCATTGGCTTTGAAATAAAAGCTCCAAAATTCGACCTTCTGGTTGTGGCATTTTCTATTGTACTTGCTGAATTTCAATATAATATCTGGAGGCCCCAGCGAGATTTGTGCCTATTGGCACTAGGACGCCTATGGCAGACAAGCTCCCCCCACCTGGCTACCAGCCTTCGGGAGGTCCCCAGGGGAGGTGCCACCTGAGAATCTTCCAGGACCCCAGAGACACTCCTTAGTGGTTCTGGCAGCCAACCGGAGGACACCTGACATGCCTCTACATTTATTACGAGCCATCAAATAATCCTCTGGAGGTAAGCAAATTTGATTAAGTGAATTTGAGCTCATTTTCCTGCTTGTTTGCTTGGTGACTAGTCATCTTGCTACCAGAGGAGGACTGGACGCAGTTGGAACTCCTCTGCTAGGTTCTAACCAAGACATCAGTTGAGAATCTTGTTCTTGGGGCATGGGTTCAGCAAGGGCGCCCACGTCTGTTTCTGTTAGGCCCTGCGCCTGTTCTCTTAGGGGAGTTAGGCAGGAATTTGG